GCGTGTTTGTGTCTCAACCCTGTCAAGTCCTGTAATATAATGTTTAGCAGAATGCTTTGAGTAGACAGTTCAAGTCCAGGCACAGTAATCAGGAATGACATCCGAAGCACCAAGGCAACTCCTCAGAGTATTAGTGACAAATATATGTATATAAAAATGCAAGCTGGGCTCTAGGATCTTTAAATGGGGTCTGGACTTTACAATGGAAGTTTCTCAAAGCTCTTCTTAGACGTGAAGGCCCGAGAAGGAAGGCAGTTACTCCTTCACCAGGACCACAATTATAGTGAACACACGTGATTTATAGTTCTGTACTTTAATCAAAATCAGTCCTGAGTTAGATGTGTACGAACAGAAAAAGGAGGAGAGAAAGAGAAAGACAGGGACACAGAGAGAGAGAGGATAGATAGATAGATAGATAGATAGATAGATAGATAGATAGATAGATAGATAGATAGATAGGTAGGTAGGTAGGTAGGTAGGTAGGTAGAGATAGAGATAGAGATAGAGATACCTGTAGATGGATAGATGAGAGAGTGATGATACAGATATATAGATATAGATAGATATAAGAGATAGATAGATAGATAGATAGATAGATAGATAGAGAGAGAGAGAGAGAGAGAGAGAGAGATGATACAGATATATAAATATAGATAGATAGATAGATAGATAGATAGATAGATAGATAGATAGATGAGAGATGATACAGATATATATAAATCGATAGATAGATAGATAGATAGATAGATAGATAGATAGATAGATAGATAGATAGATAGATAGATAGATAGATAGATAGATAGCTATGGACAAGATAGATAGATAGACAGACAGACAGACAGACAGACAGACAGACAGACAGACAGACAGATAGATAGATAGATAGATAGATAGAGGCATATAGTGGGATGGGGATGAATCCAGTGAAAGTTTAATAGGGCAGAAGAAAATAGAGTAATTGGGGGGGGTCCTGTCTGTGCCTTTTCAGAGGGAAATTATTGGAAGAGACAGCCAAGAACCTGAGTGCAGAGAAGGTCTTCTCTCGGTGCCTTTAAGGGTCTTTGCTTAAGGAGATGCCTTTTATTTTTTTCATCTCCGCAGACGTACTTCAACGACAATATTCTCACCCTGATACGCACCTTGGTGACGGGAGGGGCCACGCCCGAACTGGAGTCCCTGATCGCCGAAGAAAACGCCCTCCGGGGTGGCTACAGCACCCCGCAGACGCTGACCAACCGGGACCGCTGCCGGGTGGCCCAGCTGGCCTTGCTGGACGGGCCTTTTGCAGACCTCGGGGTAAGGTCCTCACGAGCTTTGGAAAGAGGCCACGGGAGATTGGGCTGAGGCTATCCTCACGATGGCTTAGGCCGGAGCAACGAGTTCATTTCGTTCATTAGATGTAGGAGAATCTCGCATGCGGAACAGTATTTGATTCAAAATACGGGGATCCTCCTCTTCTCCCTCCTCCTTCTCCTTCTTTACCTTCTCCTTCTCTTTCTCTTCTCCTCCTTCCCCCTTCCTCCTCCTCCTCCTCCTCTTCTCTTCTCTTCTTTCTCCTCCTCCTTCTTCTTCTCCTTCTCCTCCTCCTTCTCCCTCCTCCTTTTCCTTCTTTACCTTCTCTTCTCCTCCTTCCCCCTTCCTCCTCCTCCTCCTCCTCCACCTCTTCTCTTCCTTCTCCTCCTCCTTTTTCTTCTTTTCCTTCTTCTCCTCTTTCTCTTCTCTTCCTTCCCCTTCCTTCTTCTCCTCTTCCTCTTCTGCTTCTTCTCCTCCTTCTCTCCCCCTCCTTTCCCCTCCCCTTGTCCTTCTTTACCTTCTTATTCTCTTCTCTTTCTTTCTCCTTCCCGCTTCCTTCTCCTTCTCCTCTTCTCTTCCTTCTCTTCCTTCTTCTCCTTCTCCCTCTTCCTTCTCCTTCTTTTACTTCTTNTCCTCTTTCTCTTCTCCTCCTTCTCCTCCTCTTCCTTTTCTCCTTTTCTTCCCCTCCTCCTCCTCCTCCTCCTCCTCCTCCTCCTCCTCCTTCTTTACCTTCTTATTCTCTTCTCTTTCTCTTCTCCTCCTTCCCCTTCTTTCTCCTTCTCCTCCTCCTCTTCTTATCTCTCCTTCCTTCCCCCTCCTCCTCCTCCTCCTCTCCCCTACCTCTTCCTCCTCCTTCTCTTCTTTTTCTCTTTTCCTCCCTCCCTCCCTCCCCCCTCCTCCTCCTCTTCCTCACTTTTCCCAGAGCAAGGCAGGACAGTCCTTACCTATGACATCTTCTCCTTGCTGTAATCCAAATTACCTTCATGAAAATTGACAACACGAACAAATGAACTTATTTCCAAGTCTAGAGCAAGAAATAAAACGTCACGGGTTCTTAATCATCCCGGACTACATTGTTCTTAATTGGTGGAAGAGCTGATCTGCAGACCCCGAGCTTGGGAGTTCATTTCAAATAAGACTCAATTGGGTTTTTTTTCCCATTTCCAGCTCTTTGATTGTGGCTAGGGTGCTTGTGCACATATTTATTAGCTGTTTCAAGATTAAACATTTAAATGAGACCGTTCCTTGAGTAATTGTCTCTGACTTGCAACAGATTTCCTTACAATTTTCTTTCTTTAAATTATTTCCCTCGTGTTCAGTGTCATAGCAATAACTGAGGCATGGGGGGGTGGTGGTAAAAAAAAAATGACATTTCTTTTATGTATTTGTTTGTTTGCTTATTGTTTGCCTAGGACGGTGGTTGTTATGGAGATCTATTTTGTAAAGCTTTGAAAACGTACAATATGCTCTGCTTTGGAATATACCGATTGAGAGATTTCAACTCAAGCACGCCTAGCCAATGTACAAAACGGTACGTCTTTGTCCGATCCTTGTTATTTTAAATGTTTTCAACCATTCATTCGGTTTTGGTTTTTTTTTTTAAACCCGGAAAACAGCTGTTAGCACTGGATAGCTTGTTGCTTCTGCACAGAAATAAATAGAAATAGACAACTGCTTTAAAAAAAACAAAACAAAAAAAAGAAACCTTTTTTTTATAAGACCTGCAAACCTGGATGTTTTAGATTTCCCAGAATTCTTTTCTGGAATGAGATGTTGAAGGGGAAAGGATGAACAGTTTTTTGAGAGCCTGGGAGACGATGTGAATTGTAATTTAACCCTTACTCCTGGATTTTTCGTTTTTGTTTTCCCTTCGGATCAAAGTGGTGGCATTGTTGATAATCCACGCATCCCAATCAATCACATTTATAGATCTGTGACATAGCTAGTTGTCCTTTCTTCTGGGATAAGAAAAGTAGTTTTGGTAATAGATTCGTTCTCCCTAACATCGACAATTGCAGATTTTTTTCCCATTTTTCCAAGTCAAGTTTTATTTGGTTTAGTAATTTTATATAGTGATCTTCTTTTATCGTGGGAATATCTTGCTGTCAAATGTATTCCCAAATATTTAACCTTTTTAACTATTTGTAGATCTATTTTTTTCCTGACAATTTTTTTTGTTTATCTGTAAGATTTCTAACTATCCTTTTAGTTTTTTTCTCTATTTATCTTCCATCCTGCTGTCTCTCCAAACTGTTCTACCTTGTTCAATAATTTAGGAATTGTCTCTAAAGGTTCCTCTAGGATAAATACCAAATCGTCTGCAAATGCTTGTAATTTGTAGCTCCGGACGGAGTGAAATCGGACTAGGAAACCGGAGCCCCGGGTTCCTTTGTCTGTGTCGTCATGACACCAAAGCGGAATTATTGATAATCCACGCAGCCCAATCAACTACGTTTGTAGATCTGTGACATAGCTGGGTTGTCTTTTCTTCTGATTGCTACCTTTGAGGAACAAGGTAGCTCAAGACGTTGTCCTGACAGCCATTGTGCTGTCTAATCTGTGCATAAAAGCAACGCACAACAGATTTAACAACAGTTCTATTAGTGACCATTTAAAGTTACAATGGCACTGGAAAAGGGGACTTAGGACTGTTTTTCACTCTTACGACCGTTACAGCACCTCCAAGGTCATGTGATCAAAAATCAGATGCTGGGCAACTGGCGTGTACCTACGGCAGTTTCAGTGTCCTGAGGTCATGCAATCCCCTTTGACGACCTTCGGCCGAGCAAGGTCCAGGGGGAAGCCAAGTTCCCTTAACAACTGTGTTATTAACTTAACTGATTCACTTAACACAATTGGGGCAGTCTAACTCAAGATGTTGTTTATCACCCATGAAGCCCTTCACGGCCTGGGTCCAGCCATCTCTCCCGAATAGGATCGGTCCATCCCATTTGCTCCAGCAGGAAAGGCCTACTTCGGATCCCATCCGCCAAAGATCTTTGACAGGCAGGTTCCAGGAGCAGAGCCTTTTTTCCTGTGGCCCCTTGACCTCTGGAAGAGTCTCCTGTTGGAGGTGAGGTCAGCCCCCACAGTCTTGGCCTCCCGGAAGAGCCTCAAAGTTGCCTCTGCTGGTTGACCTGGGCAGAGTAAAGAGAAGTTCCTCACCGCCATGTTGCTTCCCCTCTGGGCTTTTATTTAATTTTCCCAGTTTTAATTTTTGTGTGTGTGTGTGTTACCTTTTTTGACTTTTTATTATTCTGTGAGCTGTCCAGAATTGCTGCAACAGTGAGATGGGCAGAGAGAAAGAAAGAAAGAAAGAAAGAAAGAAAGAAAGAAAGAAAGAAAGAAAGAAAGAAAGAAAGAAAGAAAGAAAGAAAGAAAGAAAGAAGAAAAGAAAGAAAGGGATTGAGGGAGGGAGGGAGAAAGGAAGGAGAGAAAGAAAGAAAGAAAGAAAGAAAGAAAGAAAGAAAAAAGAAAGGAAAGGAAAGGAAAGAGAGAAAGAAAGGAAGGAAGAAAGAAAGGGATGGTTGGAGGGAGGGAGGGAGGGAGAAAGGAAGGAGAGAGAAAGAAAGAGAGAGGGAGGGAGAAAGAAAGAAGGAAAGAAAGGAAGGAAGGAAGGAAGAAAGAAGAAAGAAAACATCTCAGAACTCCAAAAGCTAATGGAAGGGAAGTAAAATAAAATAACAAAATAACAAAAAGAAAAACAG